TTTTGGTTTAAAACAATTTTCTATATGCTTTGGTGAGCTGTATACAATTTTTACTTATTGCATTTATAACCAAATGTTATTATGAGGTTGTTTGCAAAGATTAGTATTCTGATTTGCAATTTCTCGATATTTGACTTTCACTGATCCATTTGCATATAAGAAAGATTTCGATGAAGACTAAAATAAATCGAAATCACTGATATAGCTTTTTGTTTTAATTTGTCTTCTTCGATTTTTATAATGCATCAATGCAACATTGAAATAATCTTGGCACGGTAAGTAAAGTAAACGAATAAAAAAAAAATATAAAACCTGAAAGATTTCAGATTTCATATTACGCCGAAAAGGAGTGTTCTTTTTAACATTTTGTCTGCCGCCTTTATTTATTAAATATCATGTTCTTCGCACTTAAACCATAAAATTCAATTCAACAGCAATATCGCAAAATAATTTTAAAGAGCATATCTTTAGAATTTCCGATACACTTCCGCGCGCTGGAGATAAAAAGGTTCTTCCCCCTCCCCTGGTAGAGTGTTGCCATTGCTCGCTTTTAAATCGTTGAGTTTGTTAATCAAAAATTCTTTAAAGTTTCACAAAATATGAAATAGATAATAAAATAAATTCCAAATTCGTGCTTTCAGATGCCCATATTCGGGTGGAAACGTACGTTATTCGAAATTTGATGGCTCTAGGTACCGTTGTTTTATCACATTGCGAGAAACATACATACATTTATGCAGATTCTTCATTATTAAATTTCTTTAAATATAAGACAGGCCTCTAATATTTGGTGGCATTTATCTGAAATGTGAACCGACATTTATAGTGAACCAACGCAAAATGCCGAAACGAAATTAATAGCCTTTCTGAGCTAACGCCCTTTGGGCTAATAAATTTAGTTTGATTCCAGTTTTGCCTTTTATTAATTATGAAACTAAAAGGCTTCTTCATACACGTAATATCTAGATTATTTACTCCTCCATAAACAAAAATATCATAGATTAGGATAAAATTATTAGTGAAGATAAGTTAATAATTTCCTTGTGATATAATTATGTATCTATCAATCTAAGCGTTTTGTATTCGACAGAGCAAAAACAGGTGGCAGTACCTTGTGTTCAAGACAGTTCTTTCTAGTTTCATTGTACTAAAAGCTTGCAGAAAGTGTTGTCAAATGCGGCTAGAACTTCTTAGAGACTCTATTCATACATAATATAGTAATTAATTATTGATTTTCATTTTAAACTTCACTTTCTAAGGTACTTTGCATAGTTTCTTCCTCACATTCTTTTGCTATTTCTCTTCTTTTTACTTTTTTCACCCCTCTGACTGATTTTGTTTCAAAAGCTAACTCGTATACAAATTACAAGCAACGAGCATTATGAAAAGCCATCAAGAAAGTAAACAAAATTAAAGAATTGACATAAGAAGTAACGGATAATAGCATTAAATAAAATTTTAAAAATAATTAAATGTAATAAATTAAATTAATTTTTGATTGTCAAATAACGGATTAAAATACCGTTAAGTTATCTTATTTGCTGCATCGGCTGTGTCCTTACGTTAAACCGAATGTTCTGAAGTGATGCACGACTTTCTGTCTTTAACTGCGGTATTCCAATTATATTCTTGACTCATAAGTGGTGGTCCAGAACGAATTGGGAAGTTATAGTGGTATGCGTGATATCTTTCATTCTGTTCTTTCTGTGCACCTAATGTATAAAAAAATTGCATATACGTTCACAAACTTCTCTGTTATACATTACAAACTATACTTAATAGGTATATCATGAAATTAAAATTTCATTGTTATATGTTAGCGGATACATATCTTTTGCGAAAGTACATTTATAAGGTATTTCTTCCGCTTTCCTAGTGTACTTTCGTGGTATAGTGGTCTGCACGGTATTCCAGAGACCCGCGGTTCGATTCCCGGCGTAGGTGTTTGCTCATTTTTCATCTTGCCTGCTGTCAAAAATATCTTAATATCTCTACAGTGGCTCTCGAACTAAAAGGGTGTTGATGGACTAATAGGGTTTTGGATGAGGATTCTCCACACCCAGGATTTGGCGATTGGGCCCCCTAAAAAAACCAGTCGCCCTTTAAAAAGAGGAGTATATACGGTATTTCTCCCGCTTTCCTAGCGTGCGTTCATGGTATAGTGGTCTGCACACTGGGCTTGTATTCCAGAGGTCCGCGGTTCGATTCCCGGCGAAGGTGTTTGGTCATTTTTCCTCTTGCCTGCTTCCAAAAATATCCTAATGTCTCTACAACATAAATAAAGGGTGTTCGAAACATAACGTATTAGTTAAAATAAATTGGTAAATGTTTATAAAAGTATGAAATTACTGTATTATAAATTATGTAAATTAGATCTATTGCATTATCAAGTGAAAGTATTAGTAAAAAATAAACGTTGAAATTATTAAGAAACACATGTCTCATTTTTAACTCGTTCAGTTATATAAGCAAGGCATAGCTTGAACTTGAAAGATCAACTACCGATACTATATCGCATAGCCAACTGTCTTTCTGTTGTTGTATGACACTAGCAGTTTAAATGAAATGTGTGTTTTCCACATTTGGAGTAAATTTGTGTTGAATTTGTTTATAACTGCCTACGTTTGCCATAATGACATATTAGATGACCTCTGAATGCGGTCTGTTGACACTGATTCAAAATCTATAGATAAAAATTAGATATTTGTTGAACTTGCACTGCTTTAAATTTAATTAAAACTCATAGTACAATGGAGTGACACACTGATAATGAATAAAAACTTCTTGATGCACAAATACTAAACTAGCAAATATGCTTTAATTTCTGCCATAACTCGTGTCGTAGTATATTAAAACAAAACAAGAAAATAAGCCTTCATGCAGTACGGATAAACTCATTTGAAAGCGCAAATGACATGACTTGCTATGATTCTTGTAAACACGCATAATTGTAACATTTGTAAATTAAGTGAATGTTTAATATTTTCCTTGGAGGGTTTTTAAAAGCAACTATATTTTTCATGCATGTTCTTACTACCCACTTCCTTCTTAATGCCGTCGTATTACATCTCGGATTTACATTTCCATTCTTCAGGGGTTTTGGAACCCCAAAATCTTCAAAAAATTCTGATTTCGGATTTTTGCATTTTCAAATTCTCTACACTTTTATCTTTCTAAAAATACCATTCTTTAATCTCTATGAAAATTAGAACTGTAAAAAAATCTAGTTTTAATTTATCATCTACTGCTTTGATCAATGAGGATTTTTACATAAATACGCGTTTTTCTCCAAACGTGATTTTTTTTATACTCGATGTACCTTTTCTCAGGAACTACTGCTCACAGGTATCTAAACTTTTTATGGCTTATTTATTAGGTTCCCTAATATTTACTGAAATGAGCTTTTTGTAATAAACTTAGAAAAAAATATTTTTTAAAACCTTTTTTGTGTGAGAAAAGTGCTAAATTTTACTATGCCTAACAAAATATTCTGTAATTTACTCTAAAATTCAAAATGTTCAAAAGCTCATTTCAGTTTAATCAGAGATAGGTATACTTTAATTACAGAAAAAATTTCCAGCTTGTATCTACAGCAGAGTTTGAGAAAAGGTACATCGAAAATGGCCAATTTAACATTGTCGGTATAGGGGTTTCTGATACCCCTTCAGCGCTCACGCCCATTCTTGGCAACTATGGTTTACGCAAAAAGTTCCCAGTAGGCAAACAAGATTTGGCTAAGATACTTAAACTTCATGTTTCCCCTGAATTTTATTGTAAGAATTCTAAAGAGAGGAGGAAATTCAAGGTATCGTTGTGTTTACTTTGCACCAATGTGTAAATGAAAACGCGGAAAATTGTTCAAAACTTTGTACCAATGATTTTGGAAACATATGTATTTCAGACCCTTTTTACCATTGTTTGAAGTATTGGTAAGATCGTGTCTCCTATAAACCTTTCGAAGGGATTTTTGATTGTACGATTTTGTGTGCACCAGTTTGAAAGGTATAATATATTAGTTACAAATATATATAATCACAGAGGTAGGATTAGAATTCCTCCTGCTTCTTTGGTCCATAACGTATTCGTGACTCGAATCTGAATAGACCTGAATGGCAATATAAATTGCCTTTCTCTAAACACCATGCATTGGGAGCGGCTTGTACAAGGCTACAAAATTCGCAGCAACAGACCCCCTCTAAAATCTGATAATTTCCTCTTCTATTTGCCCAGTTTTAGCCTATTGGCTTTTGCCGACTTTGGTTGTTAGCAACTGTCTCCTCCTGCCTAATCCGGAGTGAGATAACGGAGTGGTTAGAAACGTGGATTCCAATCGTTACACTTTAACAATCGTTTTGTAACAATTAGAATAGTTACAAAACACCGCAGTTGCTTCCAGTAGCAGGAGCGGTTATAAGAGCTTGTTGTTGTTGTTCCTCTTCTATTGAGCGCAATAAATATAGCTGTGCATTTGGTACTTGTTAAAAATCAAACTAATCCAATCTGAAATTCTGTGAACATAGGAAGAACCGTTTTGTGACATTAATGAGTTGTTTAATGTGATATATCCAAGTTAAGATAATAGCAAACTCATATCAAGACAACCCATCCGACGGCAATAATATGTTACAAGAAATGAAACTGATGCCCTAAATAAAGATTAATTGCTAGGAATACAATTTTACATATTAGGGAAGTTAATTTATTGCCACATAAAACGTATTAGATCTTATCTGGCAGTAAATTAACTTCCTAATAAGCAAAGTTGTGCACTGAGAAAGACAGTAATTTTGAAGCGTTTTAATCTTATAAGTTTAATATAACAAAATAGACTAATAATAAGAATGCATTAGATGAAATATAGGAAACTGAGAAACATGAAACTTAAATGTTAATAGCAAGAAAACATTAATTTCATTCAAATTACTGCAGCTAATTAGGAAACGAAGTGTGAACGATTCAGAGGTGACGGATACTGACTGTCTGACCTTTTGTCTTTTCAGTGGCGCTGGTGGGGTGATGCTGGCGTCGGTGCTGGGGTCTCTGGCGGCCCTAGCGTCGATGGCCGTGACCTTGGCGCTGTGTTACCTCTTCTTCCGCAAGAGGCCCGCCGCCAAGGAGGCTAAAGATGAGCTAGAGCCCCTGCAGATAGGGGGACAGACCCCTTCTCAAGGGACACCGAACAAAGGAGCACAACAAACGAAGAAAGGCGCCAACAACAAGAGTGTTGTCGAACTGACCAGACACAACGTCGAGGATAGGCTCTATCAAGGTACTGCCGCTGCCTCGTCGCTATCTCTGGACAGGTGAGATATTATGCATATATCTTTAGCTACAGTTAAGAGTTTGAAATTCTTATGCATATATCTTTAGCTACAGTTAAGAGTTTGAAATTCTTATGCATATATCTTTAGCTACATTTAAGAGTTTGAAATTCTTATCGATCAAAATGTTACACAGTACCGCTAACTTTTAATTAAATTGCTTTTGCCTTTAAGAATATTTAAGTGCGTGATCCTAAGACTCGTACAGGTGGTTAATTCACTTCGAGATCTGTCGACTAAAATCCACTTAATTAAAAAGCAGTAATCACAGTTGCATATTTTAAGGTGACCAATGAGTAAAACTTACAGTTGAATAATAAATGGAGTAAAGTAAATTTTTTCCTAAAACGAAAAAGCAATACACCGAAAACAAAATTACTCGTTTCAACATTGATTTCATTCAGCTCTGACTTCTTCTTCTGGATATTTCTGAAGGATATTGTTCATGAAACGAATGTGAATACCTCATTGAGCTCAAAACCATAACTGCTGCTTTGTAGCAGAGTAAAAAATGCAAATATATTATTATTTTAATCTAATGAACCGATGACATAATAATTGGGCAGAATAGCTGATAATAAAATGATTGTTGTGAAAGTTTTATAAAAAAGTTAATTATTATTTGTCATAAATTTAATGAAGATACCAGAAGTTGTCTTTGCTTATAATATTCTAAATTATCTACGCACAAAAGAATTTTACAAACCTAATATTGACAGCAGTCGTCTTAAAAACGTTACATGTTATTACTAGTTGAGAAAAAGCAAATTCAGTAAAGCATAAACCTAATGGAGTTATGGTGATTAATTTGAAATATTTTCTAAAAGTACTATGAGATACGTAAAAATAAGAATAACTGATTTGTCAAAAGAAAAACCGTTATGAAGATTAAACGCAATGAAAAAAAAAATGTCCACTCCTAGGTGACATTTCAAAATTGCGAATCGTTTTGGAGGGTAGAAAGAAATTGAAGTATCTTCGGGGGAATTTCTTAGAATAACGAAACCCCATATATTTTTAATGGTTGCTTCTTTTTTAAAATTCACCATAAAAATATTTATATCTTTTCAATATCAACACATTGTTGCTAAAATTTTGGAGTAAAAGAAAGGAACGAAATATTGTTCATTTTGAATGAACATTGATGAAATCGAATACAAAACCAAAACAAAAGGATTATGCTTTACAGGAAAAACTACAAATGAATAGAGGTGCTAGTACCCTGTTAGGCTGCATGAACACACAATACGACACGGGTGAGCATTTTGCCTTTGAGGTCCCGTGTTATGTTCTGAATTATCTCATTCCACGCTTGGTGTAAGCGTATCTCTGGTTCGACCAAACTGCTAGGCTGCCTTATTGGCTATCTGAAAGGATTTAGAAATAAACGGTGAAGAATCTAGGCATCAGGCAGAGAAAGGAAGTGCTTGCTGTATGAAAGAACCTTATGGGAGCCCTTTTATGAGTGGTAACACATGTGGCTGATGGAAATCACGAACGTATAACTGAAGTGTCATGATGCCGCAGATCATATTACAGGTTACCGGCTGTCGTATGTGATGGCACTCCATATCAATACACCAGCCTGTGGGAGCGGCGAATCGCTGTAAAACGGAGGTATCACGGGGCCTTCACATGCCTACATTTCTGTCATCACTATGTAAACTGAATCTCGATTTGTAACTGAAGACGACCTAGTTTCATTCATTTACTGAATCGTATCCAAAGGCAAGACAACTGGATGTCATTGGCAGCACACATAATAGGCTCTACGTAGTAGGCGCAGTAGGCACGTAGTAAGCACGTAATAGGCGCTGTAGGCTTCTTAATAGTTGCACACATAATAGGCTCACGTAAAAGCATTGCCTGTGCCTGGATACCAGACCAGTATTCCGAACAAGTATCAAAGTATGGCAGACAAAGAAGCAGTTTGTTCTGTGTGTGCGTGTAGCATGATGTAAATGTCTTTTCAGCTGTTGATCTGCGTAAGTTGTACTGAGCCTGGCTTCCATGTATGCGAATCATTTCTAGGTCACCTGTCCCAACACTTCTTCACAATAAACTTAGAGCAACCTGGATAGCAAGATTTTCGCCCAGTTAACCACAAAACTTCCATACTCCCCGAGGCTTCTTCCACTTTCGAACTCTAACAGCTGATCATATTATCTTTGATGGCGGTATAACGGCATCAGTCTGTAACAGGTGAAACACAGGCAAAATTCGAATATGTTATTAGATGGGTAAGCCAATGGCCGCAATGTCTCCATGCAGTGATGACTTCGAGAAGTAGTTTTAGGTGTAATATTTCAAAACCTGTGTTCTAATCAAACATGTTCTAAATATTACAAATTGCATGTTAAAACATGGAAAAGAATAGAAATATTTATAAACCTACACAATAAACTGCCAAATAGGAAACAAATTTATGGTCTTCTAATCGGTGGGCAGCAAATAGTCTAATAAACCTATCATCTTTCAGTACTGCATAGTTGATTATCGAAGAGTATTTATAGTGCAGCTGTTAAGCAACGAATGTTTCGTTGGTATTTCTAAGGTATTCCCTAATCAAGTAGAAGAATTGATATCGATTAAATAAACCGAAAATATGTATTTATATTTTTTTTACAAATTTACCGACTTCTCGTAAATAGCCCCAGTTGAATAAGATCAAGTTTTGATTAAAATAGGTTTTCTCTATTATTCTTCATTGTTTAACATTTCCATATTTCGTGAATTGTAGGAACAGAAAGGAACGTATCGTTGTAAGATACAGGGAAGTGAAGTAACGTTAATGAATATTTACCTTCGGAATTAAATTCCTTTGGGTCCTTAGAGTTAGAAGATTAAAAATAATTTTTTACGTAAGAATTCTAATTAAATATGATTAAAATTACATAACAATCATGATAAAAATATCCCTACTTTGTGCTTTATTGCCCAAGAGGAAGTAGTTAAAATGTATTTTACATGAAACCTTTATTTTAATCTTTTAATCTCTTCAGTTTATAATTGAGCTTTAAAGGTAGGCATAAATCTCTACAATACAGGAAGATTCTCGTGACGAATTATTTGTCGGAAATATGTTGAGACTCAAAGTAGCTGAAGTCTAAAATAGATTTTTTAGATAAAAGTTTTGTAAAATAAAACTTTGTCAGTAAAATATAAAACGACAGAGACATTTTTACAAACTTTTACGATCGGCTAGAGCTTAATGCATCACAATACACAAGCAATGAAAAAAGCCAATGGAAAATGCAAATATCTCCCAATATATTTTTCAGAAGTTTGGCCTCACGAGATAAGGTTACAAAGTAGCCACGTTTTTGAACTACATAGTGAACAGTTCAATATCGGCAACAATTCTGTCAATATTAAAATTTTCATTGCCTAGTTCAGAAATGCGGCAACATATGAATTCCTGAGAAACTTTCAGAATTTTATCTTTCTCAGGAGTTCATTTATTTGAAATCGGTTGCCAATGACAGATAATTTTACTTAGTTATTAATAAAATTAATAAAAAATGTTTCTGTTGCAGTCAAAAAAGACATTTCATTATCAGAAATACTCATAACAACCAGATGAACGGTCATCTCTCCATCAGTTACGAAACTACTCGGATTCTTCAAGTTCAGTTTTCAGGCAGAACTTCTCACCAATCAACAGAATTCATTGTTCACTCCTTAAACATCCCATACCTAATTTTGAATCTTGCAAAATTTGTAGCACATCTTGTCACTGTCATTTGGATATGCCGAGCAAACTAAAACTATGATAAAATTTCATATGAATAAATACGAATCCTATGTTCTAAAGAGGAAGAAAAATGTGCAGTACTCTAGCTGGAATTCGAACTCCGCACCTTCCGATTACGCATCGGATGCGCTATCCAGTTACACTACGAAGGCATGCAGAAAGGAGAGAGAAAATACCTTATATTTAATAAAAGTCTTTGATATGTAATCATAATTTGGCCCACCAACGGCCGAGCGTTAAAATCCCTGAATACCGGTAGTTCGGCAGCGTCTCAAACCTGGCGAATATGGTGTCTGGATGGGCGTCGCTTTTCTTCACGTCGATATGAACCAGTTTCCTTTAGATAATTCTTCTTGAAGGCATTTCTTCATTTATGCAGATAGTTCAAGTATACTTTGTCATAATAAAATCCAAATCCCAGTAATCATAGTTTGGGCCTTTAACAACAATTTCGATTTTTGGTTCTGTGAATGTTATTCATTAAGCTGTTTCAGTTGATTAAGGAACTGACAGAAAAATATATATTCTTTGGTTAACGACATTAGTTCCTATCCAAAGCTTCCCGACGCTTTCGAAATTCTAATAACCTTTCAAATACAGTTTCGTTTCATAAGATAATGCTACATTAATTTTCACTTTGCTCCGCCTATTGATATCTATAATAATTTTAAATCATTTCATTAAACAAAAGTGATGACCTTAAATCTGATACCCTCGAAATCGACAGCTTTTCGTTTAAAATTTTCGGCAATGTAAGGACGTTTGCTCTTGCTCAGTTTCATGTTTACAAGATTTGTAAATTTATGCAATAGATCTGATTTTAATTTAGCTTATTTAAGAAATCATATTTATAAATTTAGTTCTGCATAGCCATATATTTCTCCTTTTAAGAATTAAATTTTATGTTGAATCACGTAGGCCTTAAAAATTCGTTAAGCCCTTTGCAAGTTCTTTACTTATAAAAGAGCGAATGATAAAAGTTGCATTTAAAAATAAGTCAAATTCCAAAGATTTTAAATACTTCTTAGTACGTAATCCAAAACATAGTCTAAACACTATTTTTATCCTTCAACTTTTATTGAAATTCTTAAGACGAAAGTTATTCTAAACCTTTAGAGACTGAGAAAGCGGATTATTTTTGAAAGGATTTTAATTCCGAAAGAAAATATTGGTTAATACATTATCCCCCATTCACCACTTCAGTTTCTTTTGATCATACGCCGGCATT